GTCCTATTTTGTGGCTACTGTTGGCTTAACTTTTGCTCTAGCAGTTGCTATCCTCGCAGCCGTATTCTCACGCTGCCGCACCTCAACGACCATTCGCCGGGAACGCGTGATTCGTACTCAGGCGTAGGTCCAAAGCTGTTGCCAACGAGATTTGACCTTACAGCTTATTGCCTCCCACGGACAATTCTATAGTTATGTTCTCTATTATTAAAATATATCTACAAACACATACGTCTAGTACTTGGTGCAATGCGGGAGTGTTTTTATTTGCATTTCGGTACTGCTACAACTTCAACTGCTACAGCTTCATGTGGTTACAAATTATAGAGGTTGGTGAGCGCATATTCAGCTACTAAAGTAGAAGCTTTTAAATGTTGAGGAACAGAGGAAATAAACGACGCGTCTATTGAAATATAACTAACTTAAAAGCCAATTAGGGACCTAAAATTCACCTGCATATATGGACTAATATGTCATACAAATCCACTTACCTCCTCTTCCGTTCCATAAAATCTAGGAGAGACTGATGTCTTAAAATCAGATTGTGACATTTTCCAAGTACTTTATTGCAATCATTCTGTTTCAAATGAAGTTAAAGTCTTATTTTACGAGCTCTAAGAGACATACACTTGACTCAGTGCTGGCCTTCCAACCGAAATCAGAAAGAACCATCAAAACATCTCGTAGAGTATGTTCGGATAGGACTTCGGCCGTATGATTTCATCAAAATGCAGCATCTGTCGTAGATGGAGACTTTATGACCGACTAGTCGAAGCCGGCGATTTGATGTATGGAGATGAATGGATTTTATGCTCTAAAAGTCACTTTTAAGTATGTGGCTCGGGGATATCCTAGAGGGTTTTGAGTACCTTTTATTAGGTAGGCTAAACGGTTTACCTTACCAACTACAATCATGGGGTATAGTCTCATTAAGGACGAGGTTCAAGAAGTATTGGCAAGCGTTTATATTGTACGGAAGACAGATTTTTAGTCGAAGTGAACACTGCGTATTATCTGTAAGCCGAGGGTAGACACCAGCTAGCAGAAACTATGTACCAATTTACTCGTGAGGGTGTTGACCACTTTCGGCTCTGGTAAAGTAGCAGATAGTTCGGCTTATCTTTGCGGTTGACTAGCCCAGGTAACGCAGTATTCACAAAACCGGTGATCTTATAAGTTAAGCCGCCTCGTGACGTACCTTTCAACCGTAGGTAGACTACTACCTGACAGGACATCTGAAGTACTATAAAATAAGATATTTAATGCATGGAATTTTACTTAAGAGTAAAATTTCGGCTGCAAACAGTGCAACATTGTGTTTGTTCGTATGGCACGAAATCACTTATTACATTTAATGTCGACAGTAACAAGTAGGATAACGCAGGTTATTAATCTCACTTAAACCAAAGAAAGTGGAAGCATAGTTTTCCCGGTGAGAACTTGAAAATAGTAATGCAAAATTTTAAT